GGATTTATCCCGAATAAAATAGAAACCTATGTGCTATTCCAGACTATAACCTTTCTCTGTGCCAAATTTCATCCAGAATATGAATAGAATATGAAAAGAATATGAAAAGAATATGAATTTTTTGGTCGGTCTAAAAAGGAAGCTTTCAATGCAGCTTTATTTTATTGATAGATATAACCGTTAGTCTAAACGGGTGTTTACCTAAATAAGTTTGGATTAGAGGAACATGGACTTTATATTCTAGAGCATATAATATCATTATGGCGTTGCTTGCTTGCAAAAATATATAATACTGGTTTTTCCTCGTGCCCCAGGACGAAATTTATGTCGATGCCAAATTTTATCGAAATCTGTTTAAAGGTTTAAGCGTGAAAAGGTAACAGACAGTTAGTTTCACATTTATAATATTAGTGTAGATTGTAATTTATTTTTATTTTTGATCTTTATTTTGAAGAGTTATTTAATCTGATATTATTAGAATCAACTTACTAATATTTTACTCACAGGACCGTCCCAATTTCACTACCTATATCTGCCATCAATCATACAACGCCACCTGTTACAACAGCCACTCAGAAGTTATCCCAGCTGGAACTAAGTAGTTAACTTACTATTTTTGAAATTAATCATTATTACAAAGGTTTTTTTTATTTAATAACTAGTTCATCCTCGCTCGAAAATGATAAAAATAAATAATACTAGGTCACATAGAACAGCATCAAATAAATGCGAGGGAATTAATAATGCAAAAACTTAATAAAAATAAACCGACTTCCGAATACTAAAATTCGTTTGCTTGAATAACCAAATAAAGCGGGTTAATATCCCAGATTTCGCTCCTTTTAATATAATATACGTGCGAAAATTTTTCTACATGATTATCACTTATCTTACAGTGAAGGAAAGTCATGAGGAAACCTAAGAGGTATTAGTTTTTGAAAAACATATGAATTCCGCCAACCCACGATTGTCCAGCATGGTAAACTATGGCCTGATCTCCCTCCCAATTAACAATACGATTGAGACCGGCAGCGGGACGATGAAAAGGAATAAATGAGATTATTAGGTCTGATTATAGAAGATTGTATCTCTGCAATTATATCACTTATAATTATTTTGTACCTATTAGTCTGACTTTACATTTAGGCGAATTGAATCGTTGGGATTTAAAAAAACAAGTTTCCAGCTCAGTAGGTTAAGGTTATTTTCCTACATATAAAAATCACTTGTTTTACATTAGAAAATAAAAAAAAGTGGTAAATATTCGTACAAATCGACAAAAGTCGGACGAATAATATATGTTTTATTTATATTCGGACGAATAGCAACAGCCTCCTTTATTTATTATTCTTCCTATTAAAGTACGAATAAATATTTTTTATTTGTCCTTATTTTAAGTATGAATAGCAACAGCCTATTATTAATGTTCTAAAGCTCATAGTAATATCACAGAAGGTTTTACCTTACTCTCAGTTAACTTTGGAAAGAGGTTCTTTAAGATAAAAACGGAACGATAAATATTTTTTCCTGACAGTTCTTTGAGGATAGTTAATCATACAATCTGGAGAAAAATAGAACTTTGTGAAAAGATTATGATAACATCAACTGTAAGAAATTATCTTGTATTTTAAAAATAGTAAAAAGTCCTGTTAATTTTTTTATATTTATCATTAAAGATGTAGTGACAGGTTTTTTTTCTTTTCGTCTAGGTTTTGTATGTGGCGACCACAACAATAAAAAATACAACTACATATCCCTAATATTACAAGTCTCGATCATACATACTCTCGATCAACCAATTATTTTTCCCAATATATCTATTTAATATATTGTAAGAATATTTAGTTTTAGCCAAAATTATTCAATGAGATCGCTTTCAACTACACTTTCAACTTTATCGCTATTTAAAATATTATGGCGTTTTGGCAAAAACCTGGCACACCTGCCTGCCTTATTGACAGAAAGGGTTCTCAGAGGTGTACATCGCCGTCATTAAAGCCAGACTGGCTGCAGACAAAGCCATGTCTTTGCATAGGGTAACTGAGGATCTGATCCCGCTGTGGTGATCACCCGATCAGCGAGCGCTATTAACAAAAAAAGGTACCATGGACACTAAGGTTTCTCATGGACCCATTTATTTTTGTGGACAGCAGTAAATACCACTGTCAGACAGCCATACCTTGGTACAGTTTCCCAAAAACCCTTGTAAGAAAATCGCCGGTTAGGTTCCCACGGGTGAGGTGGAACAAAAATATCGAAAGTTAGGAAAGTGCGCCGTAACGCTTTATTTTTAATTAATCGTCATAAGCTTCAATTATGGAATTATTTGATGATTTGATTTTAAGTGTAGGTAATTACAATATTTTTTTCAGTTGTTACATCTGACCCTAAAACTTTATTCTTATAGGTAATATTTGTATATCATACATTTATAACAGGTGAAACGGATTCACGGATGTCTCGCTGGGGAGATTGTAATGTGGGAATTTAAATTATTACACTGCATATTATGTAGAAACTTTAAAAAAAATCTACATGGTAGTGATTTTAACATGTGACGTTCGCAGCAATTGTCCTAAATAGTAAAATTGTCTAATGACCTCGTAGGAAGAACCCATGCCATTCAGTGACGCTTTAAAAGCTAACTTATATTTTATTTTATGCTGAACGACTGTACGAATTTAGATGAAATTTTGTACACAGATATGAAATAGATTAGGGACCTGGAGTAGCACATAGACTAACGTTATAGTTATAGATAGTAAATCGCTAGGCTTATTTTATTTTACAAATCCATAATATATCGAGCTATTTAAGATGTAATCTCAAGAGATCTATAAATTATGTTATTCGCGTTATGCCTGGCGACTGGATCCAATCATATTTGTTCCTCTCCTAGGACCTCCTACAATTAGTACAATCATTGCAAAAGTTTACAGGGTTTGTACGTATAACGTTGAATAGACTAGACTTGGGCTATTGCAACTTAATAAGACTTATACAAAGATGCTATACGAAATGCGATACGAAAGATAGTTTTATTTAAAGTGATTTTCTATATAGATTGGTAAATTCTATTCTTTATAAGTTTTCCTCAAATATTCAATAATGATTATGGTTAAATTTCGACTATTGGGAGAAAACTTGTTGTAATTAAAATAAAATGTAACACATTTTATTTTAATTATAACGTTAGGTATACCTTTACATACTCGTATGTATGTTATTGAAATTGAAACAGCTGCCTGTGATTTCGAAGTGATCCCCTTTTTATATTTCAATGAATCATATCCTTTTTTGTTTGTTTGTTCACATTTAGTGATTTGAGTGTAACGGTAGGTAATTGGACTAATATACCTATATAACATAAGTATATATGGCAGTGGTAGCCCAGTGGTAACGCGCTCGCTTGGGAAACCGAGTGAAGCGAGTTCAAATCCCGGGTCTCGCACCTCTGATACTTTCCTGTGCAAATCATTTCCAACATGATTACCATTTGTCTTAACGGTGAAGGAAAACATCGTGGCGAAACCTGCATGTCTGAGAAAACCTAGCAAGTTTTCAAAAGACTTGTGAAATCCGCCAATTCGCACTGGGCCAGCGTGGTGGACTATGACCTAATTTCCCTCGTACTGAAGGGAGGCCCGTGCCCAGCAGTGGGCTGAATACATACATACATATAATATAGGCGACAAGTAGACGTTTTTGGATGTAATTTAGTACACAGATATACTTTGACATGGAATAGCACATAGGTTGTATTGTTCAGCACCTAGGGACGTACCCGAGCGAATGACGGTAATTCCCTAGTAAATACAACATATTCTTACCCTAAGGAAGCTTTCTGCTCTAAGTATCTACCTAGTTTAAAGCATAGGGGCGAAAACCTAGATAGTAAGTTTAATTAGCCAGAGATTGCGGTTTCGGTGGAATTCCTTATTAGTAAATATTTACATCAGCCATAGAAATTATATTAAATATATTATGGTTTAAATTAAGAGTTATGGAAAATATCTATTGTTTTAAAATACGGCAACATTCGAGTGATCTGCGAGTGCCGATATTATTTAACTTTTAAATAGTATCCATCGGTATCAAAAAGGTACATAATATCATACAGAGTAAGAGATTAAAGTTAAAAACAAATATTGAATGCTCATATCGTGTATCATAGTATAAGAAATATTAAATTTAGCCGAGCAATTAGGGAGATAAAATATAATGGAGATTTCTAGAGTTTCATTTCGCTTGAGTAAAAGTTGTGGAAGATTTGCATTTTTGACTTTGTTGCCAATATGAATTTTTATATCAAGGTTCTGACGACCACTTGAAAAAATTGGTCAAGTGTGAATCTCTTTAATAATACATTTTAACTAATAAAATTAATTATTTTAATTTTAGAGAGAGCCAGCTTTTTGAGAATAGCCTCCTTCTAACGCTATCTTAACCAAGTCAAAAATCGTTCATACAAAAATTTTATATAGAGCATGAAATTTTCTAAAACTTCTCTATGAAAGTTTTCTTTATTAGTATGTTTGTATAACACTTAAAAGTAAAACACAAGATTTAATTAGAATTAACTATTGTATTTTAAAAACTAAATTGTTACTGAAAGAGAATAGTAAACTAAATTGTATATATAAAGCATCAGAAACATGTAAAGTGTTTAATTTTTGGCGAAAAAATAATAAAACTTTTACTAGTTGAAACAGATTCGGTGAAAATCATACTTGGGATAAATATTACACGTGCTATTTTAGAACCTGATAGGTCATGTTGTATATTTATGATGCAATAATATTATTTTCCACAATAAAGTTCAAATTAAAGAACTTGCACATATATTTTATCAATTTACACAATTGCGATTTTTCTAACTTTTGACAGGAACTTGAGGTAATTTATACAAATACAAATAAAGATTCTATCAAATTTTTATGACTCATAAGGATAAATACAGATTGTTAGGTTGATTGAATACGTTAAAAAGTGCAACTTACTTCATTTCCGAGTCGGATTTCGCAAGCATCCAGACCACATGGCCAGGGTTCCTCCGCGATCCAAGGACCATTAGTTGAGACACTCGTGCTCCGGGCGGCAGCGGTGGTCGTCGAGGCACTTGCCCTGTCCAAGTTGATATAGCCAGCATTTCTGGACATTCCTTCACTAAGTGCTTTTGAGTTGCCATGCATTTCCCTGAAGCGTCCTACAACAAATATAGTTAATATTAACACAGACACTACACACGATGCTACGGATTTATTAGCACCTCCTTGGTTTTAGATAAAGAAGGCCTATCGGATAAGGTTAAACTATGAATCATTATACTAAAATGCGAAACCTTAAATAAATGAGATGAATAAAAATTCGCAAATGTAGCTTTTACAAACAACACTATTTTACGACAAAAAATTTCAAGATTCCAACAGTTGCTATATGTTTTCTAGCGATAAAATATTTTGCGCTCCCAAGCAGTTAGTTTGTTCGAGGTGGGCGTCATTATCGGCGCACCTTTAAGACGTTTTAATTAGAAAACTTCGAAGTTCCTCGCGACACTGGAATGTCATGGAATCATCAATTCTAAATTTCGTCATTCTTGCAAACTTGTTAAAACTTTAACTCGTTAAAATTGATTTTCTAATGAAATAGTGAAAGAATGAGGATTGGAAATGTTCAATGCAAATAGTGGTTCATTAATGCTACACTGCTCGTGTATGCCGAGCTAACAGCGAACAGCTTTTATTATATAAAAGGGCGTCTGAGATATTTTTTCTAGAATTGCGAGTTCTTGTTACTCTTTGGACTAAATTGATGCTATTTTTGGCCGCATTCAATAGCTGGGCTCATTAATTTTTGATATTTTTAAAATTATACACATGTACAATATGTTTGTACGTTCGTCCTTCTACGCAACAATACGTCACCCATTTTTCTTAATGATTAATAGCAACCTGAAAGTTCACAAGTAGTTTTATTTAGACACTTACCTTTACAACACACTCACCTTTCATGTGTTGCTGTTTTTGTCCTACAGTTATGTAGTAATGAATAGAGTATACCGTGCGGGAGATATTATCCTACCAATTTATTTGTAGGGTAATGTAGAAATTACATTTTACTAATAAGTACTATAAAATTCAACCGGTTCTAAATAAAGTTCATGATATTATTGTTTCAACAACTTCGAAGATAGGGACGTTTTCTTTCAAATCATCTATTGTAGGACAAACATTTTTTCTTGTTTTAATTGAATTGGCCTAAGTTTAAATTGCAAAACAATAGTAATAAATTGACATGTTCCTCATCAACCCACAATTTTATCTAACACTATCGAAAACTTTCGTAGACAGAAAAGCTACTCGAAGTTTCAGCTTGATATTAATCATTAAGAAAACGGGCGGTGTACTGTAGACAATATCAGAACTGTCCATAATTTTTTTTTCTCAAGATTATATTGCGTCGGTGTGATAAAACTATAAGCGTGAATGATATGCGTTTGGATGTTTACTGTTTAGTACACTCATAAATTAACCTGAAGTAATATATTCAAAATTTGCCAATAGATGGCGCTATATGCTATAAATATTTGAACTACTCATATAAATGCGAAATTATTATAATATCAAAAAAAAAATTAAAAAATTTTAATATTCACTCACGGTAGAAGTGAAACTTCTTTGGTCAATATCGCAATTAAATTAAAACAAATCAATAATTAAAAAAGGCATGTTAGGCAAATTACAATCATAAATTTATAGAATGTCATATACGGAAAGAATATAATATTATATATTTGTCAGACAATAAAAACGATGGAAACAATTAGTCATAATAGCTTTAATTTAATTTATGCACATTTAGCCCACAGTAATAAATATTCATTTTTATTATAAGTAATAAGTTTAGTTTTTTTTTAGCAAGTTTAAAAGTTATTTTACATTTTATTTAAGATATATTACATAATATATGTTAACTATTTATTATTCAGTATTATTGTTGACTTCCTGTGTAATATATTCTATCTCATTCTCTCGCCGGCTTAATCCTATATATTTATGTATTTGTCTCTTTCTCGTGCCGCATTTCCGTTTCATCTAGTTTCAAATCACAACGATTCTAAAGAAGTTTCACTTCAAAAATCTAAATAATATCATACTGTGGGTACTGGGTAACATGTAACTTCGGCTATAACTATTTAGCAATTCTAAGAACCGCCATTATTCATTCAAGGCCTTTTAATAAGAAAACGTCGACATGCAGTTATTAGAATTTCATACTGTGAGTTATATGTTAAATTGGTAATAGCAGTAATTGCTTATTTATATTCTCTGCATATTTCGCCAAAAAATATTTAAAAATAAAGATACATCGAATGCAAAGCAGTAGTGATTGAATGTAAAAGCAATTATTGTCCATTATGTGTGGATTTTTTAAAGCTTTTAAATATGAGACCACCTGACTGACCTGTTCATTAAAAAATCTTTTAATATTTGTTATTGCTAAAATATCATTATTGACTGCCTAAAGTATGAGGGTCATAATGGTGACTGGTAAAATACAAAAGTATCTTTAATAAAGATTTTTGTAAATAATACTGATAGAAATCTTAGTAAGCAAACTAACTTAATACTAATAAAACCTACATGTTTGAGGGAAGTTATTGCGAATATTAAAACTAGTTTAAGTTTTTGTACATGTTCGATTGCCTTTCATGAATTAATGTAGGATTATTTATTTGCCATTTTGAAATAAAAAATCAAATAAAAACATCGAAACCGACGAAAGCGTTATACAAAATATTAAATTGCTTTTATTAAGTTATTGCTACATTATATAAACTGAATTCAAAGCTCTTTCATTCACCCTCTCTTTCTCCATGTGTATATCTATTCTTCTTTTTTTTATCTATACAGATAAACAAAATTGAAATTTCTGTTTGTAATAATGTCAAAATAACAACTTTTTATTATGTACATATGAAATTGTAGACGGTACTTATGAGTAAAACACAAATTTTAATTTTTTTTATCTGTCTATTTGTTCGTTGCGGCTAATCTTTAAAAAGGCTGATTGATTTTGACAGGACTTTTACTGGCACATAGCTTATGTTATAAGAAGTAACTTAAACAATTTTTATTTCAGAAAAATAATTAAAGTTCCGTAATAAAAGTACCTAGGTACCTACGTAATAAGAGGGTGTTACGTCATAACTTTTAACATTTCCCCCCGGCTTGATTACTTCGTGAACTAGTGTCTTCAACCAACAAATTGCATCATAATTTCATTCTAGCCCGACTGAACTCTTCATAAAAATCTACAACGAAGGAGATAACTGAGATAAACGTTCCGTATAAACTGATTTTGCCTAAGAGATTGGTCTAAGCATAGCAGTAGAGCGATTTTATAGTTCTATCGAAAGAATATATAAAATTTATTTGTAGGTACTTTTAAGAGATTGATTATTTGCAAATGTTGACGTTTCTTTTTTTTTACTTAAATGAGATTCTTAGTGACGCCTCTCTCCTGTATACGTCTATTCTCTATTATTGAGACTATGGATGTCCACCTGGACGAGAACTATACCGTATTTACTATTTATATTCAACGCATAAAATTATCCTATATAGGAAGCCCCAGTCTGTATCGATTATGATTTTCTTTTTGCTTTCTCCTTACATTACATAGGCAGGGATGGACATGATTTTTTGTAATATAGAGAAAGTTCTAAGGCATAAGTTCCTCACAAGTAATTAATTTACAGCAAAAAGCTGCGTAGGAAATTACTAGATTAAATACTATATAATAAAATAAATCAAACAATAATATTCTTTTTCAACTCAACTTTAAGGAACTTTTCTGTAAACGTCAATACAATAAATAACTCGTTATAATTAATGCTTTGATATATGAGTATTTTCCTATGTTCCGTCACATCTCATAACTTAAGTCACGAAGTTTCGGGGAGTTATTATAACTTTTGTCGCAATAATCTTACTAAAGTCCCTCTCAGGGAGTGCCCGTGGCTGTTACTCTTGAATAGCCGAAGATTTCTGCTGATATTGGAAGTATGGCCTGATTTATATCTAAAAGAAATAAGATTCCCAATCTTATTATATCATATATATCAGTGATTTATTCACAGAGTTTCTTAAGGGTTATTAAATAATAAACATAATAAATTATTTTATGGGATACGTCCTTGTTTGTGTGGGGAGTCTTTTATATTTACAATCTATATTAGGTATATATTATAAATGTGAAAGTTTGTGAGTATGTATGAATATTTGTTACTCTTACACGCCAAAACGGTTGAATGGATCTGGATGAAATTTGGCATCTATCTCTATCTTTTTTATCCCGACAAAATATACGGTCCCTGAGGAATAGATTTGTTTTTGTTTTTCTAGAGGCGAACCCGAGCAAAGCGAGAATGAGCCCCTAGTATTATATACATATATATAGGCAGTGTCACCTTTTTGCAAGATATGTACGAGTATATATTGCTATATATAACAGAAGCCTATGTGCTACTCCAGACCTTACTGAATATTCATGGTATATGCACTATCGATCCTAGTGCCTCATCGAGCTTTTTTTGATAACAATTTATATCTATAAGCCATCTTGATCTACTTAGATATTCTTCTTAGATAGCTTGATCTTATTTTAGTATAAAAGGATTTTTATCACAAGATTTAATAAAATCCAAGTGATATCTAGGTTGCCTTAATCGAACATTTTACATATCCGCACAATTATTATTTTTTGGTTAATTTATCTAAGTTTCTACGATTTTAACTTTTCTGGTCGAGTCGAAGTATTTTCGAAATTTAAGAGTGAGTGAGATATGGCGTAGAGAATACACATCTATTAACTGTACCATCTTCTGGCTAGTCTCGTTACAATCTATCAGAGTGACATTACTGTTATATAATGGAAATCTTTAGTGACAACTGATAAAACCTTTTATTTCGAAACTAAACATATTTAACGTTGCCGAGAAATAAGTGTTCCTTCTGATCTTTTAACAGATAAAGGACGCACTTCCGCTTGATCGAGCAGCATGTCATGCATCAACATATAAAAAAATATCGATATCGTAACAATATTCGATTATTGGGGTACAGTACGTCGATGTTAATACCTTAATAAAATTACTACTATGTTTTACGCCACAGTATTTTCTGCGTATGCACTAGACTGGAC